GTATCTAACAGATCTATACTAAGGATTAAACTTCTTGCTTTATATGATATACCCATCAATAGCCACTGGCCTCTAGATATGATTAAAAAAAATAAAAAAAGTTGCTCTATCTTGATCCACGTTTCTTGTGAATCTCAATATTATTGCCAGCCCTTCATTCAAGACTGTTTACCCCAACTTAATCTCTGTGGTTCTAAGGTATAAAATTTTTATTTTTTCCAAGAAGATGAAGGAAAAGGATAAAGAGAAAGGAGAAAAGTTTGTGCTGGTAAAATAAAAACCCTATCAAAACCAATCACTAGCCTAATAAGATCCTTCTTTGATCTTGAGGAGAAAATAAATCGGCATAAGAGGAGAGAGGAGAGACTTCCAAACACTTCTTAATAAGAGGACACCTTGACGCTTTACTTTTTTCGCTATATCCAGTTCTTTCGATTTTCTTTAGGAGGTTTTTTTTTTTAAGCAAGTGTTAGATTAAGATAATTTAAACTAAAGTATTCTTTGTATTATGGAGTTTGTCATATTAGAAAGATAAATTTTTGTAAACTTTTTATTAAAATTAAATCAGAAATTTTTCTTATATAACTTTTTTTGCTTGACTTGTTTTTAACTTGCAATTGTTAAAAAGATCAGAAATTCCATCTTTATACAGCCTAACTGAATTTGGTTAGTATCTGAATGTTTGAATATAACATTTATAAAAAATTGATAAATCTATAAATGAAAAATAAATTTATATATTTTGTTTCCTATGGATATTGAACTAGAAATATATATTTGGAGAGAAACCATGGAGTACTACCCACTATGCTATTGATCCATTTAGGGCTTCTAATGATATTACTTTGATATTACTTCGATATCAGTTCAATACTTAAATTTACTATAAATTCATATAAGTGAATCACAACCTATATATTAAATTTACTATAGATCAATATCATTTCGATACTACTTTGATACTGGTTCAGTACTTTTTAGAGTCTTAAACCCACTGGTTTTATAAATTTATTTATTATATTATATTATTTATTTATTTGTTAAATAAACTTGACAAGTTATATATAAAACATATATTTATAAAGTAGAAAAAGTTTATTTATTATAACTTAATTTGTAGATTATAAAAAAGATTAATATATATTCAAAAAATATATTTAAAAAAAGTTTTTTTTTTTTTTATTTAATTAATTATCTCATTAGATAATATAATATAATACAATACAACTTTTTATTTGTAGTTTAATTTATCAATTTAACAAATATTAAATTCTATTTGGATTTGAAAATAACATAATATCAAATCAAAAACTGTCAAATTTTATCTAATTTGGAATAAATATATAATTTCTATTTCTATTATTTTGGATCAATTAAATCTAGAATTTCAAATTAGCAAGATTTGAATTAATATTTAATTAATATTTTTTAAATCACAAATATATTATATATATATAGTATATATAAATATATATCAAAAATTTGATAAAATCAAATAAACTAATTATCAGATCATTAAACAACTAATGGTAAATGAGTTTGGTATTCTCAAGTAAAGTTAAAGAAGTTTTGATTGGATATCACAAAGCAGAATGCTCTTTATACAAAATAAACAAATAGATTACAGAAGATGGAATTGACAAGTAAGCTGGGATATAAAGACAAGACAAAAACTTCTTTGGTTCAGAAGCAGAAATTCAAAATCAACAAGTGACCCAGGAATAAAATACTTTCAAATCAGTGCAGGATCAATCCCAGGAACAATCAAATTCATAAAAATCAAAACAACTCAAGAGCACACCAGTCAAAGTCCCTCACTCTCTTTTAATTAGATAAACAAAATTGCAAAACACAGGAAAGGCAAAGAACCCTTGATTTCAATAGAGATCCATGTATTAAAAAGTCAAGCCAAGACTAAACTGAATGAATTATAATCCAATAATTCAATCCTATTAAAATTTCAATATATAAAAATAGAAAATTATAGAATACAGATCATTTAAAACAATATTATATCAGAAAACTACTGCTCATGGCTTTGCTCAGAATATAGAATGAATACAGATGACAATTACCAAGGCTTCTATTAATTCTATACAGATGGAGCCATGAGAAAAGCATTTGATCAATCAATAAGAATGGAAACAGCCTGGTTCCAAACTAAGAAACTGAACCCAAGCAGATGTTTTCAAATAGGAGTTGACAATTGATTATTATTCACAAGAGCAGAGCTGGTAGCAATCCTTCTAGCAATATTATCAATATTAAATAACAAGGTTATAGAGATTAAAACAGATAATGTATTATATATAAACATCTATATGAGACTATGTAAACCTTATCCAAAAAACACAATAAGAAAATATATGAAAATATCAAATTGACAACTATAGTCAAATCTAATGAGTACAATTTCTAGAAAACGTTTACAGGTGAAACTAATCAAAGTCAAAGCTCATAGTAAAGACAAGTTAAACAGTCAAATAGATCTTTTAGCCAAGGCAGCAAAAGAAGAAGCAGGAATAGAATGAAAAGCACTATTATCAATAGTTCCAATTATAGTATTAGAATGAAATGGCATCCCAATTGATATCTCAATACGAGTCTTCATTAAAGAGTACAATAAAAAAGAGATTCTGATGCAATGAACATCCCTTAATAGAATTCAACAAAGATAGAAAGAAGAATTGGAGAAAGATAGCAAGTTTGATTGGAGAGAATTTTGGTTTCACAATAATAACGAAGGATCCTTAACTACATCTTTCAAACTTATAAAAAAAAAAATGTTCAAAATCAAACTTATCCATAATAAACTGTCAACAATAGATAACTTAATCAAACACAATACCCAGGAGCAGTCCAAGAACATTAAATGTGTTTTTTTCCAGGATCAGGAGGAAACATTAGATCACTTGCTTATATGTAAAGAACTTTAGGAAAAGAAAAACAAAATGTAGATAGACATCACCAACAAAACAATCTCATCTTGGATTTTAAAGAACATAATAAAAAACAAGAAAAATGGAAAATGGAATCCAGTGCCAATCATCAAGCTAATGAACAAATGGGAGAGAAACAAACTTTCAACAGCAAAAGAGATCATTAATCTCAGCCATACATGTGGTCGTATTACTATAAAAGGAAATTTGATTGAAAATACGATTCCGAATTAAATATAAATTCCAATTATTTACTATATGTTACTTAGTACTGTAATTCTACCATAATACGGTTTTTGAAAAATGGTAGAATTCAATTCTATCATATGTATAATCTCAGCATAGGATTATGGATATGGGCAGATGTGATGAAATGGATAAAAATTCTATAGTCAGTTCAAATCCACAAAGCAGTTGCATACAAGATTCTAAACAAAATATCTTTACACTGGTGCAAGAAGTTCCGTCAACAAATATGGAATGTAAGATATGAAAGGTTCCACAATTATAGTAGGTCTCGAACAAAGAAAAAGGTAAAATGAAAGAGGGAATCAAGGAATACAGAAAAAGTCAGTCAAGCCAGGCTCTAGCTCAAAACCACAAAAGAAGGGAAAAGAAACAAATTAAGCTTCAAGAAGTATAGATATAGCTAAAGATATAGTAATCAGTAACAAGACTTCAACAGTCTCTCTTACAAAAATCATATGAAACAAGATCAAAGAAGGTATTAAGTAATTGGAAATATAAAAGTAATCAAAACCTTGCCAAGGTGAACTGTGGTGATGAAATGCAGACAATGAACTTAACTTTTCTTAGAAATAGAAAAGGAAAGGAAGCAACTTTATTTATCTCATCTTCAAGATCATACCTAGAGATTATTAATCAGCCACGGATATTCAAGTATTAAACTAGTTTATATATAAAAGTACTGTACATTTATGTTTTCATTTCCAATGATTAAATAAACACCATAAATACTTGTTTGATTATGAAAAAAAAAAAAATCAAATAAACTAATACAGTAACTTTATAATGAAATGGTAAAATTTTTTTTTAAAAAAAAACAATCATATGAATTTATTAACAAATATCGTGTATCAAATTATTTATTAATTTGATACTGTATATGCTGTTTAAAATCAAAAATTTATTTTGTGAATTTAATGTACTGTACTTTGTCAAATCATTCACTACTTTTTGCAAATGATTGGCGAGTGGTATTATGCCAAATAAATTAATTATTTTCACTAGCATATACAGTATATACAGTACATACGGTATATACAGTACATACGGTATATTTATTGCAAACTTAAATTTATGATATTTTGATAATACAGTACAGTATATGCTTTTAAAGTTTTTTTATATTTCACACGCTTAATACAATACAATACAGTAAATACGAGTGAAAATATTCAGCATACCGTGTGTTATATTATATTATATTATTTAATTTGCAATTGAGCTCCTGTGTGTGTGTCTTTATAAAGATCTTTATTTACTTACATGTATTGTATATTTGGTTTATTTTTTGAAATCAGATTTTTTTGTCAAGTTACAATTAATAGGTATCATGATTAATTGAAATCATTTTTTTTAATTATTTTGAAGCACAATTGAATTTATTGATTGTATTCACATTATAATTAGTATAAACCAAACAAAAAAATTGCAAGTGAAATTGGATTTCTGAGGTGTGAAATTTAAATCCTGGAGCTAACAAAATAAACTTTCGAAAGTCAACATTGTAAAGTATATCATCAGCTAATCTATACGTTATCACTCTATCTGCGTGTTACATGTACAGTATTTATGATTTTATTCCATGCAATGTCATCGCTTATAATAATGCAATATCCTTCTCACCTTTGCATTGTGAATTCTTACCGGGATGTACCAAAAAGAAGAGAAAAAGAAAGGGTTAAAATGTTTATGATAAGCAGTGCATGCATGGCATAACATGTTTTCAAAGGATTCTGACTTTCTTTGATCGTGACCCAGGCTGTAGAAAAAAAACATACACTGGGACCATTCAGCGATAAGTTTGGCACCGGTGCGTCAGGGGTGCACATCTTTGCGATTCCTTCCAATTGGCGGTTTCGTCTTAACGGTTTTACGACAGTCATCAGTTTCATTAGTTACCAGAGTGTTTTCTGAGCCGGGGCGCGTATCAAATAGCGTCACACTGCCATCATCTGAAATTCATTCGTCGCACCAACGCATGTACGCTCATCAGATGCATTTTTTATGACGAGTGTGTCACTCGTCGAGTTCATTGCGCAAATAGGCGACTAAACAAACACCAAATCCTCAAGTTCTTTGTCCGTTACCCTACGTAAAGGACATGGGTGAAACCGTTTTTGTTTGTGGATAAAGTTTTCGGGAATCACTCGAAGCCGGATTTTTTTGAAACATGGCGTACATCATACCGTTACAGTCGACCTGACACAAAAAATCGACAAATTAAATAATGCATCAGTGGTTACTGAATATTTTGATGGTCACAGATTGATAAGTAGCCAGGGCGTTCGACAAAGTGAGATTGATCCACGGATCTTTTTTATCAAATTCCGGGACTGAATTCTCGGTAATGCGCAAAAATAAACATCCGCCGTGTTCAAGATGAGATGACGGTTTAATTACAATTACAGGCTCACGTACGGCACGTGTTTCTTAATTGGTCGAGATCGCGTATAGCGTAGCTCGTTCGCTATAGGGAGCCTGAACGCGAAACGCACAGCCTACCTATTGCACAATGCAATTTGGTTAGGTCGGTTCCATGAGATTGGTTTAACCTTAAAAGTAAGCGATTATACGCAAACGTGATCACCCACGACTACACTTTGCTGCATAAAGTAACTGGAGAACGGTAAAGTTAGGTGGTGAGTGCATGCTATATAACAAAATTTCCCTAACCAAAGTTGTTTTTCGGATTAATTGTAAAGATCGATTGATGCGAGATGTACGTTTGGGTAAAACGGGGGACGGCAGATGAATGGCATTGTTTAAGATCCTAAGTGTATGAGAAATCGAAAATAAGCGGGGTGCTTTGGATATCCATTCAGCGAACATTGTCGTGCTTTCAAATCCGGGGGGTTTTTTTTGATGCACGTGCGGCATTGTCTGTCATCTCTTAAAATGTTTTTTACATGACGGGGTGTGGATGCATACAGGCTGCACGTAACTTGTTTACACTTTAATATCAGCCTCAAGGTTGTTAAGGATGGAGGCTAAATAATGCTTGTTGCAAAATAAAGATGCGACGGGTCTCGCACGTTTTCACCATTTCCAGGGTCGCACGCATTGTTGATTGCCCGATATGTCGGGTCCCATGTATTTTTACCAGGGGAAAATCACACCAAGATTGGCATTAACCACTAGAGTCCGCATGTGTAGGGTCATGATTAAATGGGCAATTTGATTTCTTGACAATGAACATTGTGCAAATACCGAAACGGCATTACCATAACAAATATTTAAGAAGCGAGATGATCGTACGTTCAAAAGGAAAATAATTGGTCCTTACCGTCTCGAAACACAATGATATGTTATGCATATGAGGTCATAATTACAGTGTGCCACATAGGCAACCGTCGGGAATGTGTAATTATATCAAAACACATAAGAAGGGGTTTGCGTAAATGGAAATTTGCGATATTTTAATTCGAGTACAATTCCTTACGCCCAAACTTTTGTGCAAATATGCTCGTTACCAGGATCTCCTTGTTTACGTGAACCAAATATCAACATACTGGCAACTGACGGATATGTGGTACACAAAAAAATTCCTTCGACGAGGAGGATTCTTTTTTTCCAACTGCATGCATGCACAAAAACCTACTTGACATGAACGTTTTCCAGGAAATTACGCATATTCCCTGAGGTCATTGATTGTTCATGCATGCGCAGATGAAACATTAAAAAAAGCCTTTATAGTGCCATAATTGACATTTGTGAGCAGAAGGCAAATTGTCGAATTCATGCCACACTTGCATAGACGTACGCATGCATCAAGCATTTACGTACGTTAGTACGTAATCATCGAACGTCTAATAGATTCTACGCGCATAATGTACGGTCGGTCTGTTGAACATAGAACAATGGGCATTTAAAATCACGTCATGTGATATGTTTCACTTTCTTATGTCATACATTTTTATTATCATATACAAGTGCGTACCAGTACGCAAGTAGAAATTAGATAATACAAGAATAGCGATCGCTTCCATATTTTATCTTTTTTTGTCTTATAAACTTAATTTTTCAAAGATGGATTTTTTCTTTTTTCTTTTGCAAGATCACGTACCGTGATTTCGCGATTAGATGTATCCATGTTTTTTTTTTTTTTTTTTTTTTTGAATGAGAAATTATGGAGCGACCTAAAGATGACAATCTGAAAGTGGATGAATGATATTATAATGTTGTTGAGGTGTAAAGTTCTGCCCTGCGGAACGGAAGAATAAAGAATAAATAATGTAATAAAAATAGATGAATAAATAAGATTCTAACGAAATACAAACTTCCTGTCAAAAGAAGATGAAAATCGAAATTTTTCTAACGAAATACAAACTTCCTGTCAAAAGAAGATGAAAATCGAAATTTTTTTCAAAAGACCATCAAGGGATTTGAAATTTGTTCTATACTTTTGATAAAGAAAAAAAATTGATTTTTTTAATGAATCGTGTTAGATTACGCGTCAAGCGAAGCCAACGTAAGTGCGGATTAAATTGGCAGGGTCTTTTGGTAGGTGGAAATTCTAAGGATGTGAGTAAGGAAGGAAGAGGTTCTTCGACGTCTAATAATCGATTGCACTCAAGATAGCCCAAACAGCCAAAGCTATTCATTCGAACAAGGTCAATTTGAAGCACGCATCTCTTTTCGTAATTTTTTTATTTATTTCTTTGCGCTGTGTAAAATTCGCGAAAATCAAAAAGAGAAGTGTGATGTCGAAAATTTTTCTTATGGCGCGTTCAAAAAGTCATGTGAATAAGCTTAACTCACGTGACAAGATGGAGATCATACGTGTGTGTATCTAAGAATGAAAAAATGTGTGTGGATGAAGAGAGTGCAGCTGTGTAACTTTGAATGTATGGAGCAGATGGTTTTATAAAAAAAGAAAAGAGAAGAAGAAAAAAAAGGCAAAAGAAAAAGAAAAAAAAATTATGGTATGTCTATATTATTAAAAGGAGTTTTAATACAGGGAGAGAGCGGTGGAGACTCTCTCGGATGATATGAAAAAGGGGGGAAATATAATACAAGGGAGATTATTAAGAATTACTTGGTGCTTACTTTACAATCAGATTATTCAAACAGAATAGAAAGAAAAAAAGAAAGAAAGAAAAAGAAAACCCCAATCCAATTAATCCGAACAACAAAGAAAAAAGGAAAACTGTACAAATTTGTTAAAGCCAAATTCGCAAAATCTCTCTCTATAACTGTTCCCACGCATACATGCGCAAGTCAACAATGCCACAGGCACTGTTTAAAAGGTGTGTGAAAAATCACTTTTAGATTTTTAATCGCGGTAATTTTCTCAAGGGTCTCAATGACTATTTGGAAAAATGATTGAGGTTAGGTTGGGTTCGCCGGAAAAACGCGTGATGCAATGAGAGAGAATGATGGAAAGAAATGCTTACCCCAAATTTCTTTGGAAGGAATTCGTCAACATCCCTGTTCTTTCGTTCGTGCTCATACTTGCACTCTTGCAATACCTTGAGTGCGCAGTCAATTTGGTCATACAGGTCATTCAAAGGGTCACGATCTTCGTGGTCGGGTGATGTGGCTTTCAGGAGTGTCTACAATTATAGATGTGAATAAAATTGAATTGGTGAGATTGACATCTGGCAGAATGGTGATTAACGATGACATGATTTCTTGCTAATACGTACCATGACCAACAACGGATACTTGCACAACCTTTGAAATGGTTTGGTGAGCAGGCTTTCGATGGATAAATATTTGCCCAAATGTACCTTGGCCTCCAAGGACCGAATAATTTGACCGAGCTTATTGTTCTTCTTGCGGGCGTGTGCTATTTCTGCTATGGCCGCTCTGTGATGAATCAGGTACGATTCGTAGATCGAGAATTGCTTGGCCAAATCTCGGAGGATGTGGGTTATCGAGGGGATGACCGGATATATGGCTTGTATGCATAGTAATTGCTGTCGAGTGTTAAAAATTAAAATGGGTTAGAAACAATACATCACGGGAGAGTATTCAAAATTCAAAATGCTACTACTAACCAAGGAAACATGTCGGTGTAACCGTAAGATGTGTGGTAGTACATCAAATGTCTGCTTTAGGCTGTAAGGTAGACGTACGCTAGAATCTTGCAGTTCGGATATAAAATGCTGCGTAAGGGAAATTTTTTGGTCGATCAATATGTGGAAATGTAAACGATTATTGGATACTGTAATAAATTGATCAATAATTACCTCAATAAGATAGTTTACATCTTTGGTAAAGTCTTTTTCGGTGTGAATGATTTCAAAGATGATTTCTTGACGGTGGATTTCATCCTGAGACAATTCGGCCTTAACATTTGGATCCACCTGCTCCTTCCACAGGGGAGCAGAAGCGGCTCTCGGGCTCGGTGAAGTTATTACTGAGATGGAGGATAAGCTGTTCACACTTGGTGTCGATGAGTTCCAACTGCGTTTCCTTGATAGACTAAGCAAACCACTGTCGCTTCGTTTGACCTTTGCAACCTTGTTTTGCGGGCTGAGACGAGCGGTCTCTTGGCTGTACATTGCGCTTTTCTCGTCGAGAAGAAAATTGGCATCGTCGGTGTATCCTTTGTTGATGCTTTGTGGAAAATACCATTCCATAGCCTTATTTAGAGCTAATCGTACATTGTTGAACAACATTGTGTGTATGTATGTTTTATTGTGATGAGGGAAGAATGAAAGAATGATGTGAATGATGTTGATCGTTTTGAGAAAATGCCTCCGGTAAAGAAAAAATCTCAAAGAAGAGAAGAAGAAAAAAAAAAAAGAAAAAAAAAATTATGGAGAGAGATTGGGAGGAGGAGGTTTTTGAGGGGAGGCTTTCAGGGATTTTATAAAGATTTCTCATCAATAGATAAACCGGTTTTTATTTTATCTTAAATCTATGCAACACAATATAAAATTCCTACGTTAAATTAATTTAACATATATTATTACTATGATTTAAATAATGAAAAATATATACAAGGGGAGTAGTTTAAGGATCTATGTACTACGTGTCATATGCTCCAATCAAAAAAATTTTTTTTATTGACGGATGGTAATAGAATAATAGAACCACTGTGAAGTGTCGCCGAAAGACTTGCCAAACTAAAAAATCATTAGGGGTTTTCTTTTTCTTTTTCTTTTTTTTTTTTTCTATAGCAAACTGCAAACAAAAAAAACAAAAAAAAAACAAAAAAAAAAACAAAAAAAACAATAATAATAATAATAAAATAAAAACAAAGAGGCGGTTCGCTAACCTCGGATGCAGACGTGGATTGAAGTATTGAAGTTTTATTGAGTTAATTGATACTTGTCTCAAGATAATTAATTAACGAGGAACGCTGAATGAAACTTTCCAAACCACGTATGGTATCAATGGTTGTGGTACAACGTAACGAACGTGAACAGACTTCAAGAACAAAAATGAAGATTAATGGTACTCATCGCGCATGAATATTATCCGATTGATTATTCATTGTCTCCTAAGAAGACTCACAAAACGTGCGAGAGGATTAAATTACACAGAACATGGATAGAATGAAATTTTCTCGAAACTCCTTGTAACCAAATAGCCAAGGAAAAAATAATAACTGCATTGAATCGAGGTGGCATATAACACTCGACATTTGCGTCCAATTCCAGATACGTTCGAATATAGAGAATAATAGTAATAACAATAAAACTCCGTGTTCGCTTTATACCAGTTCTTGTCAATATCAATATTGGTTTTTTGAACATTTCACATATTACTTTTTTTTTCTTGAACTTTTCTTGAACATTTCGCATATTGCATTTTTGAAAACTTTGTATATTACATTTTTTGAAAACTTTGTACATTACATTTTTTTGAACATTTTTTGCATGACACTTTCGTTTGAACGTTCTTCATATTACAATTCTCGAATTACATTGATGTACGTTCAGGTTACAAAAGTTGCGAAATCCCATTTTTCGCATAGCATACTTCGTTTCTTTCAAAGAAAATAAAAAAAACGAAATCCACATTCCCCCAAAGGCGATATTTCGTTCAGCATATTCTTTATCTGTTTTCGCTTCCGTCATCATTTGCCTTGCAATTTGTAGCACAATAACCGATACGCATATATCGGTAGGCGTTAGTCACCTTTGAACAATAAGTTGGCGGTCAACAAACCGAGAATCCACCATCTTTGCTTTGGTTCACAAAAAAAATTTCATGGGTGAAAGAAATTTCCAACGTCGTCTACTTTGTCCTTCTCTCTTGATAGTCTTCCGCTAGAATTTCAGGGTTCTTAAACTGGGGATAACTTGCCTTCTCGGTAAAAGATATGCAAACAAACACAAATTTATTTGATTCTTCTTTTGGTAGTCTAGCGTCATTCCTGTCCAGAAATGTTAGATGTTAATTCCCCATTGTATGCGGTAGGTTATGTGTATAACATAACACTTATAGATCCATTATGTTACTTCTAACAGAACTAATTTGTATATGTTCATCACCGATGTCAGACATCACACCACACGAAGCTCAACCTTTCAACCCGGCCATAGCCCTCATTAGACCATAAATTGACCTAAAGTGTATTCCCTATTATTCGTTTCACTTGGAAAAAAGTAAATCCGTATAATTTTATTTCATTATTATCATTAATTTTACTATTATTATTTTATTACTATTAATTTTATTATTTTCATTATTTTCATTATTTTATCATTATTATCTTCTTATTTTATTTATTTTATTGCTAGGATTATGATTTTATTATTTTTATTATTGGTCTTATATTATAGTATTATTTATTTATTTATTATTGCAGTTTTATTATTATTATTTTATTATTGTTATACTGTACATTATATGCAAGAAATTCAGCATGACATTTTTTAAAAAAAAAAAAAAGCGCCGGTTTCATATTTGATCAAGGAAAAAGTTTAAAGGTGTACATGCGTGAACAATCGATTGTCGACCAACATTTATGATCTAATAGGTATTTCACAAGGGTTTTTTTCTTGTTTGAGCTTGGCACGCAAAAACAAAATCGCAACTTTATGCAAATACTATCACATTTTACACCTCTCACTGACTGATTCTAAGATCAAAAATGTATTATACTGTATATATAATATAAAAATAAATAAATAAATACAAAACAACAAGAGAATCTTGGTTATTATTATTATTATTATTATTATTATTATTATTATTATTATTATTATTTTCGGTTCTATGATAACCTTAATTTCAATCTTTATATTAGATGTTACTAAACTTTATCACACAATTATCGTCTACTCTAATCGCAAAGCCACAGGTAAATTTTTCTGTTTACCAACTTAACTACCTCGTGTTTTTTTCGTCTATGGTAGAAAAAAAATAAAAAAAAATAAAAAAAATTTTTTTTTTTTTTTTGACGTTCTACAAACATGTGTTAAATAACATTGATTTCACAAAAAGGAAAGTTCGATATCACATTCCGTTAGCATTATTTGTAGTTAACAATTTATTTCTCGTGCACATATTTCCTAAAATCTGTATTCATCGATTTTTGTATTTGTAAATGATAAAGAATTCAAAATCCCGATCAAAACAAACAAAAATATCAAGAAATAAATCCGGATTGCCATAAATAAAAAAAAACCAGGAATTCTTAACCGAAAGGTGGTGGTGATCCCCATTTACTCGCTCTCACGTTTTTTCACATGATATTTGCACTTGATCGATTTTATTTAATTTACAATTGACCAACGTTAAGTAAGGAAATGTTGTTATGTGCTCGTGCATTACACGCAGTCAACAATTTGGTCAATAGATCACCAATCGAACATTAAAGCTTTAGATCACGAATTTATTTGTTTCCTAGAAAATAAACTTTCTCGCGCAAAGCCTTTCCAATCGGAGATAAATAGAAAACCTTAATTAAGGTGAATTTCGTTAAACATAAAGAAACAAGAAATGGAAGGCGAGCAGGAGGCAAAACACACAAGAGTCCAAAGTATAATAAAGTTTGTTGATTGTATGGGCGTATCATACTTTACGCAGAATAATCAGCACGTATAGAACCGCGTATCCTTGATCCTACAGTGACTAAACGTGTGCTGGGACCTCGTGCACCTGCTTATACAGTACTATTCATTTAAATTAAACTCTTCAAAGAGGAAAATCAAAAATGATAATATACTGCATACCGTTATATGTACAGTATGTGATACGTACACACCCCAAGGTAGTCTTTCCCAATTTGTACATAATTAAGAATGGACATATCATTGGTTTTAAGCAATATCAAGTTAGTCGAATAAATGAAATGCATTTTGGTTAATATTCTACCTGATTTTACGTTACCGTCAAAATTTCGGTTGTTTCACGTTATCTTAAACCTTTTAATTAGAAGTTTAGTAATAAACATATATTGTATAACTACTTAAAAGAGTAATCACCTAGAGTGTTCAAACAATTTAATTAACGACTATATGTTTAGGGTTTCAAACTTGGATTTCAATAAAATTTTATTGATGATTGATATATTGTATTTTCCCCAAACAACAAACGATTGTCATGAGAAGTTTCTATCGGAAGCAGACAGATCCAAGTACAAGCGCACGACGAATTTTACCAAGTTTGGGTGAAATAATATCTTCAAACAATCTCAATTTAGGATGGAATACGTATCGACATTCTTCTAGATAAGATTATATCTTAATAAGTTATAAATTTGGTTTTGTTTAAATGAAAATAAAAAAAAAATTTCTTTTTGTTAAATTCAAATAAATATTATTTATTATTGAATTAAATTATTACAATAAACCATTATTTTTTTTATTTTTTAATTTTATTAATAAACATATTTTATAAATTTATTTATATAAAATTATATTAGACAATAATATATTTTAATTTTAATTTATGATTATAAAAATTTTTATTATATTGATATTTATTAAAAACATTATACAATATATATAATATTTTATTGTAATTCAATTGATTATTAATAAAATAAAAATAACCATTTAAATATATATCAATAAGAATATATTTAAAAAAATTACTTGATAAATGTTTACCAATCTATTATTGAAAGTAATTTTTAGTTAACCAAATTAATATGTTATTAATATCATTTAATATAGTATCAATTATCAAATTATACTGTATTTACTTTGACAACTTTTTATAAATTTTTATAATATAATATTTGTTAAATCAAAACAACTAAATCATTATATTTGATTATAACAATATAATAAAATTAATAATTAATCATAATTATAATCATAATTTTTTTAAAAAATTTAAGTTTATAAAATTATTAAATACTTAAATATATAAAAAAAAATTTAATTTTTATAATTAATTTACAATTTAATTTATGATTCAGTAATTTTAACTTACATTTTTTTAAAAAAATAAATAAATAAAATTATTTATTAAAATTATTTAATATATACAACATATAAATTTATAAAATAAGATAAATGTCATAACAAGTTGATGCTTTTTAAAATTTTCCAAAATTAAAATAATTTTGAATATTATTATTTGAATGTCATAAAAACATCTGACAATTTATTTTATAAATAAGAACATTTATTTTCAACCAAAATTTACATATACGTTCATCCATATCTAAATTTTTTATGATTAAATATAAATAAATATATATATATTCTTTTCAACTTAAATTACTAAACTTCAATTTTATAATTTTATAAAAAAATTTGGTTTGGGGGGACAAAAACCATAGATAAAAAAATTTGTTAATTTTTTTGTTATCTAATTGATCATAAGAAAAAATATAAAATTTTTATTATAATACAATCAGAGTAGTAAAGATCTGGAAAATAGTTTTAGAAAAATAGAAATTTTTTTCGTTATCAAAATCTCATTTTAATGTTGTATGCCGAATATTAAAGTCATTTTAACAAATACCAAGGATTTTTTTTAATTCTTAGTTCTTGAAAAAAAATTCTTTTTTTTTTTTTTTTACATTTACTTCGAGAAAGTTTTCACATGACTGTACAGTATGTACGTAGAAATATGATGATCAACTATATTATCATCGTACATCTATAGCTCCATAAAAGTATTCTTTAACTATCAAAAAAATCTCGGTGCCTTTGAAATTCACGGTGCCAAGAGGCAAGCCAATCAGTTATATCTTGATCACATGCAAAACATGTCCGAAATCAAATTACTTATCTTTCTCGATTAAAGTTTGAAAAAAGTGGTGTTTTGGAAATTTGTGATTTAAATTTCATTTTTTTAAAAAAAAAAACCGTGTTCTTTGTGTGCTATGAACTATCGATGTACTGTATATGCGCGCATTAAGCTCTGCAAGATTTCTTGTTTTGTTGAAAAGAAGCCTAATATATTCGATTTTTTTTTTCTTTCGGAAGTTGGTGTGAAGAAACCGAGACTTAAACTTGTCATACGTAGTACTAATTTTCATGTCCTCTATAACGGCATTCCTGGAAAGACCCGCTATAAACCTAGGTTCTTATTCACTTCCTAGCTATTGTGATATTGCGTATCTGAGCGTGAAAGGAGGTAAGAAAACACGCAATTCGTATCGGGGTACAAGTATCACCGAATGCAATAATCTAAAGTATACGTATGCGATTCGTGCATTATTAATTTTTAAAAAGAAATATTAAATTATGTTTAAGAGATTTCCTTCTTTCGATAGACCAAAATTACAGAAATACGTTTCTAAATCCGTACTGCGAAATTTGTGATATGGCATTATACTCCTGGCGTGCAAATATGGTAATAATTATTAATCATTCGCGTTTTGGATTTCCAACTTTGGTTTTGTAATTCAGACTTCCATTCATCTGACACATTGTCAGCGAGTATTATCATAAATAAGGAAACCATTGTTTTAACTAAAATATTACCGTAACAAACATTGTCTAGATATGAGTGTCTTAAAACAGGAATACAAACAGGTTTATAAAATCGGGACCTGAAACTTTTTGAATTCCTCTTTAATAGCTCTTATCTTCTACAGGAAAAAGAGAAGGTTAGTGACACTGGTTTCAATTTAAAGAACGATTCATTTTTATCAAGGGACCAAATCATGCATGCGGTAATTAAAAGCAATGGGTAAATAATGTGGAGCGAAAGCAATGTTATTCTATTCTCAATGCGCGCTGAAATTTTCCAAAATTTACACAATAGCGGAAAAACTATATTAAATTGATTTCTTTTACATCGAAAAAAACCTGAAAATACCTGCTTAATAAATACTTATTATATGCTGGGGTAACCGCGTGTTGGAATTTTTTTCCCTTTTGAAATGGTGGTGAATGTAAAAATCACCAGGACGGGTTACAATATGAAACGATTTAAAATTTTACGTGCTTTAATAATTATTAAATACTTTATAAGAATATCTTTGGAAATTTAACAATGCACAGTGTAGTAACTTTGCTCGAATATAACTTTAGGAATAAATTTGTGATGTTAAGAATTGGTATAAGGATAGTATTAATGGTTTTTAAAAGAAGAAGATACATAAAGACGAAGTTATGAAAGAGGACTGTCACAGGTTTTTTCACATATAATCAAAGAATAGGCAAGACTCTTAAACTTGCCTAACTTTTGACCAGAGGTTTTATCTTGATGCAATAGTAGTTCTTAAGTTCTTATGTTTTAAGCTTATGGCTTATGGGATATATAAAAAAGAAAATAGAAAGTACTTCTTTAAAAAAATTATTATAAAAAATTTTTTTCAAAGAATCAATAGTTAATAAATGAGATTGAGATTTTTTTTTTTTTAATTAAATTATTATATATATATTTAATTATTTAAGTATAAAAATAAATATATTTTATAATAAAATAATTGAAATAAAAATTTGTAAAAAAAAATTTTATTTATTTTCTGTTTATATTAAATACTGTATATATTAAATATATAAAAAATTAACAATTGAAAATTTTTAATGTTTTTTTTATATAAAAATAATAAAATATTAATAAAATAATTTTATTAAATTTAATTAAACAATTGTTTTAATAATATATTAAAAACTATAAATTAATAAATAATTTTAATTATCAAAAATATATCTTTTTTATAGGTCTGAAAAAAATAACTCTAAATTAAAACTGTAAGATATAAAAGGTTTTAGTTAAAAAAAAAATCTTTAAAAAAAAAATTAAAAATTATTTTTTTATTATATTTATTTTCTATAATAAAACTACAATAAAATTTAATAAACTTTTATTAAAAAAAAAAGTTTTTGTTAATTACTATAATTAAACATATTAAAATAATATTTATTTCATTTAAATAATTATTAAATATTCTTTTCTAAAGATAATATTTTTTATTTGCAAAGTTTTTATTTTCTAATAATAATTATTATTATAAAATTTTTTATAATTTTTCAACTAATTATCAGTTTTTTGTATAAATTTTAATATAAAAAATTAAATCTAATTTATAACTATTAAATAATTTCATATAAGAATTTAAATATATTATAATAATTTAAATAATAAATTTATATTTAGTTAAAAAAATTATAAGAAAAAATACAAATATTTTAAAAAAAATAATTACTTTATTAATTTAAAAACAAAAATATAAATTTAAGTTTTTATAAAGATAAAAAAATCTTTTTAAAATAATTATTCTTTATTATAAAAATATTTTATAAAAATATAAAAATATAAATATATGTTATTAATATATAAATCTTTATTTAATTTTCTAAAGACTTAGACTTATATAGTCTGGTGCAAAAGTCTTTAGATTTTTTTTAAAATTTTATTTTATTTATATATTTTTTATTTAAAGATTTAAAAGTTAAAATTTTTTCAAAAAATTTTTTATTATATTATAATATTATTATTGAAATTATATTTAAAAACAAAAAGCTTTTTAAAAATGATTAATAATTTTTTAATTAACTATAAAAAAAGAATTATAAATTATTCAATTATTTTAATAAATAGATTTGTTAGATAATAACTAATAGAATTATATAAAATTTTTTTATGATTTTTTTATTAATAATAAATTTTTTTATTTAGATAGTTTATAAATTAATTATTGATTTTTTAAAAAATTTTTTAAGTTAATTTTTTGTTAAAAATTAATATATTAATATTTGAATTATAAAAAAAATAATTTGAATATAATAATAAATAGATATACTATAAATATATATATTAGTAATTAATGCCGGTGTCATATTTATGATCAAAAAAGATATTGGCAAGCATATTGGAAAAACAAAAAAATATCCAGACAGAGGAATAAGTGTCGATCTTCAGTTCAGGAAAAAAAGTACATCAGTATATTAGGAATCTATATACCAGCAAACAGATGGGAAAAAAGAGAAGTCAACAAGTGGATAGAGGAGAAAATCCTTAACAGATATAGAAAAAATTGAAACATAATTATTCTAGAGGACTTTAACTCAGTAATAAATTCCTAGATAAATCACAAATCAGCAATTAACAAGAAACACAACTCGCAACATCCAACTTTAACAACTCTGTGGGTATTACAAAATCTAAACTATATAGATTGTTACAGGTAAAGATGGGTCCCTAAATTATTTATAAGGATATAATTCAAATGTCTCTTATTATTAAAAATTTTCATTTTTATATTAAGAAGTAAAAAAAAACTTCCTACAAAGATTTTTTATAGTTTTAAGCATCTATACAAATTATTTCTGGAATTATGTTCCTATTGAAATAAAGAGTTAAGAATTATATTCTTTAGGGGATATGGACGTAAAGGGACGTAAATTTTATATGCTAAATACTTTAGGGACCTATCTTTAGCTACAGAACACTTAATCCTATTACTCCAGGTTTCACTGGGCAAAACTCCAGAGGAGCAACCTCAAAACTAGATTATATCTGGATTTCTAATTATGCCAATTGGTACTTTACAGAAGTAAAGATTAGCTCAACCATAATGATGACCAACAGCGATTATATGATTATCCAAGCAACAATCTCTCTTTCCAATACTCATATAGTCCCCCAAAACCAACCAAAAAAACAAACAGAAATCAAATATATTACAATCAGCACAACAATAGAATAATGAAAGAAATTCCAAAAAGAGTTACAAATTATCTTTCAATAACAGAAAGAACAAACAGACCTGAAGAACAAAACACTTAATAAACTCTGAAACCTCATGTGGGAGGTGATCAACAAAACAAGATTGAAACATATTCCTAAAATCAAGATCAAAAGAAAAGAGATGACAAAGACCTACAAAGTAATGTCATCATAGGAAGGGAAAGTAGTAGAAATAAGAAAACTCTATAGCAAGAGTAAACAATACTTCAAACACAATATCAGAACAGCAAACATTATTATAAGTATTTACAAATCTATCAACAAGATTAACCAAGGGATACCATCAATCCAGGAATCTCCATGGCAAGAACAAGATCACCAAGTATCTACAGCTCGCAATTGGTTGAAAGAGGTCAAGAACCTATGGAAAACAGCCTACAAAAGCCTTACAGCATTAACAAATAAGAAAATTTAGGAGAAAATTCAAAAATGCACAGAGGACAGGTTTTTACACTTGTTTACAAACAAGAAAAAATGATCAGATCAATTCTCAAGCAAGAAAACAATAACGTTTCATTTAACAAATTACTGATTCAGGGTGACCCCATTACAATAATCACAAAACCAACTGAAATTAAAAAAGAGGTGGCAAAACACTTTTAGCAACCACTTAACCAAATATTACCCCTGGAAGAAAATTGGAATTACTGGAGACAAAAATTCTTTCCCATACTGAAAATTCCAAAAATATGATATGACAAATATACACAAGAAGTGTCATATACTAAAGTCCAGGAAACAATCAAAAAGTCAAAGGCAGAATTAGCTTCAGGAAAATCTCAGATAAATTATACAATTCTTAAGTATATAGGTCCTACAAGTAAAGATAGGCCCTAAAGTATTTAGCATATAAAATTTACATCTCTTTACATCCATATCCCTTAGAGAACATAATTCCTAGCTCTTTATTTCAATAGGGACATAATTCCAGAAATGATTTGTATAGATGCTTAAAACTA